TTTCACCTGTTATTTGTTACAGACAAGCAGAATGATGTGGAGATTCCTTCTCCCACCCAGAAAGACAGAGAGAAGAAGAAAAAACAGCAGCTCATGACGCAGATCAGCGGAGTGAAAAAATTAATGCATAGTTCAAGCTTGAATAACACCAGCATTTCACGGTTTGGTGTGAAAACCGAAAAGGAAGATCATCTGGCCAAGGTATGGCAGATTCTTGCGGTTCTGGGAGAATCGGTATTATATAGAAGCTGGGGATGGACTGGCTGGCTGGATTTGGCCCCCCCTCCCTCCTTGTAAAACTAGAATCGATATCCTTGAAGAGATGTGGCCATTACAAATGCTTTAATTAATGGTACCAGGCCCTAACAGCATATTCTATGTTCATAAATTCCTTGAAAAGATCCCTAAAATAATAAAAAAAAAAAAGTGATGAAGGCTGAAGAGAGCAATTATCAAACACAGGAATGTGTAACAACGCTGTGTCCAGCGAACTGGCTATGGGGCCTTTGTCTCCATCAGGGCATTTCTTCTTGCTGCCTGGAAACACACAGCACAAATAATTCCCCTGCCACGCAGAGAAATGCCGTCTCCTTGTACAAGTGCTTTGGCATCAGCTCGGCACAGTTACTCTGTGTTCGTGTGCAAGCTGGAGAGGGACTTTTTACAAGGGCATGTAGTGACAGGACACGGGGCAGTGGATTTAAACTGAAAGAGGGGAGATTTAGATTGGAGATAAGGAAGAAATTCTTCCCTCTGAGAGTGGTGAGGCACTGGCACAGGTTGCCCAGAGAAGCTGTGGCTGCCCCATCCCTGGAAGTGTTCAAGGCCAGGCTGGATGGGGCTTTGGGCAACCTGGTGTAGTGGAGGGTGTCCTTGCCCATGGCAGGGGGGTTGGAACTGGATGATCTTTGAGGTGCCTTCCAACCCAAACCATTCTGTGATTCTACGATTCTATGATTAAGTACACATGTTCATGCACGTAGATAATTATCGTAATGAAGATTGAATTTGCATCTTTTTAAGCTTTTGGGAAAACGCAAAAGACGTGGTGCGAGTGATAAACGCAGAATTGTCTTGAGAAATATTGTAACCATTCTCTTTTTGTCCTTTCAACAGGAACTGGAAGATCTGAATAAGTGGGGTCTCAACATATTTAATGTCGCACGGTATTCCCACAACAGGCCGCTCACCTGCATCATGTACGCTATATTCCAGGTTCGTGGCTTTCTGATCAAATTTCCTGTTCTTTTACAACCCTTTTTTGGTTTCCAACGGCTCTCTGCTTTGTTGCCTCCTACGGTATGACATATTTAATAAACGCACGTGTGCTTGGACCGTTCATTATACAGGAGCGAGATCTACTGAAAACATTCAAGATCTCATCAGACACTTTTGTAACGTACATGATGACGCTGGAAGACCACTACCACTCGGACGTCGCCTACCACAACAGCCTCCACGCTGCTGATGTTGCCCAGTCCACGCACGTTCTGCTCTCTACCCCCGCGCTGGACGTGAGTTTCCTGGTTTGAGCCCAGTGCTTTGTGCTGGGCAGCCCTCGTGTTTCAAGGTGGGAGGGTGGGCTGAAAGGCACCACGTTCCCTGTGTCCACAGAAAAGATAAACCTGAAGCTGAGTCAGTCGCCAGTGGCACTCAGACTTGCAAAAAGCTGCTCTTCTGAGGGCTCATTTTGAGAAACTTCAGCAGCAGCTTTGCCTGGAATCTCTGTTTCATCTTAAAGAGCACGGGCTGCTCCTAGACCTTTCTTCTGAGTAAATGTCTTGTCCTCAGAAAACTAATTTAAAAAGCACAATTTGTTTCTCTAAATCAGCCTCCCAAACTGTTGGGAGATAAAACATAAGGGCTTTTCTGACAAATTCCTTTTTTCCTTCCTAGGCTGTCTTCACTGATTTGGAAATCCTTGCTGCGATTTTTGCAGCTGCAATCCATGACGTGGATCACCCTGGGGTCTCCAATCAATTTCTTATTAATACAAGTGAGTTTTGTTTCAAATACCATAATAACTTCATCTGGAAACTAATGGGAATGCGTTTTCCATTACAGCGAGGTCACAAATTACGACTTTCAGACTGCTTTGCTTTCTGAAAATATTGTGCGGTAAACTAGTTAGAAGTTTTGAAATACATACAGTAATTAAAATGAAATTCCTGACAGAGGAAGCTATTGTAATGCAATTTGCAAAGTGCCCTTGAATCTTGTGAATATTACTGCTTGCTCACACATAATAATTCTTCCAGTCCTGAGTGCAAATTTTATCGTTAATGTAAGATAAATAGTGCTATTGCTATTGACAACGATAAAGCTAAATATTGCGGTTCATATTGTGTTCTGCAACAGGCTAAGCATGTATCTTGATTCCAAAATATGTGTATTGTTCTTTTTTTGGGAAGTGTGTTTGCAGGATTCATGCTTTCTGTTGTCAGCGGTGCTGAAGCCCATAACTAGAGTCTACCAAGGACCATTCTGTTCATTAGAACGGAGCAAAGGGCTGTTTGTATCACACACATATGTGCTTGGATTAGGAAACCACACACTCTTGGCACACACGAGGCAAAAAAAAAGAAAATGTTTCCTGATTTATTGCATGCAGATAGACATTTCAGTGCCCAGGACAAGCGTTCGCTGTTTGAAATCACACATTTGACGTACTGGAGTCACGTGTTTGTGTTGCTTTGCTAGATTCCGAGCTAGCCCTCATGTACAACGACGAATCCGTCTTGGAGAACCACCATCTCGCTGTGGGTTTCAAACTGCTTCAAGAGGAGCACTGTGACATCTTCCAGAACCTGACCAAGAAGCAGCGTCAGACGCTCAGGAAGATGGTGATTGACATGGTATGAGCTATGCACGCCCTGCTCCTTTCGTTAAACAAACAAAAAAATGGCTTTTTTGTGTGGTTGCTCGTACTAAGGTCCTGTTTTCAATTCTGTAAAGGTATTGGCGACAGATATGTCCAAGCATATGAGTCTGTTAGCTGATCTGAAGACCATGGTGGAAACAAAGAAAGTGACCAGTTCAGGAGTCCTCCTTCTGGACAACTACACAGACAGAATACAGGTAGGACAGCTGAGTTTTCTGGATTTTGTGCATTTTGTTGATTGAAGAAACCGTGCTCCTGTTCTCACGGTGGCTTTTAAATGGACCCTGTATAGAAAATACTGACCTAAATTTTCAGCAATCGTTTTCTTCTGTTCTGCACCACAAAGAGATACAAGGTGGTCCCATATGTTTTAGGGAAAGGGGACTTAAAGCATGGAACTGCAAACATGCACATTCTTCTGAAGTTAATCTAGAAGGCTGAGTTTTGGAGGGCTCCTGAATTTCCTTGCTGATTCTCCGGTCGAAAAAGTATAGCAGGATTGCTATAGCATTGCGAGATGGCAAGAATTTAATTTGTAACTCCATGCCTAAAGCAACTCTCACACCGAGGTGAAATTAGTGATGTACAATCTGTTCCCTATATAATCTAATCCTTGTTTTACAGAAAGGGCAAAGCAGTACTGGAACAGGGTTGCGTAGTTAGTAGGACAAGACACATCCTGATGTTCTTTCCACTTTGATGGCCAACTTCTTAAGAACAGACTCATGGGAAAACTCTCCTTACATTTTTATTTAAGACTGCTGATGTTAAAACAGGTCACTCCGTTGGTGTCTGAATCCTTGCAGCCACAGTTAGTCAGGCACATTTTTTTTGTGTGCGTGGAAGGGATGTTACTCATTTCAGAAAGTGGGAGCTTGTAACCATCTGAGAGCATGGAAATAAATTGTGAATGGTGGGAAGCACCTGCATTCAAAAACAAACCTGTATGATGTAATGAACGTTGCCACAACTGCACCCCGTGTAAGTATCGAGGGGTCTGGCAAACATATAGGATGTTTTGCTTTCGAAGCGGACCGTAGCAGCTGGTCTCGTATACGGAGACGTTCCGACGTTCGTTTTTTTAGAGGCTGTTGCATAATCGAAGAGTCTTGTGGTTAAATGTTCTGAATTAAGCAAGCAGATACAGCTTGAAACTCTTTTTTTTTCCATTTGATTTTACGAGTTTTCTGATTAATGTAATTGCAGGTTCTCCGAAATATGGTACATTGTGCGGACTTGAGTAATCCCACAAAGTCTCTGGAGCTGTACCGGCAGTGGACGGACAGGATCATGGAGGAGTTCTTCCAGCAGGGAGACAAAGAGCGAGAAAGAGGAATGGAAATCAGTCCGATGTGCGACAAACACACCGCGTCAGTGGAAAAATCACAGGTAACTGGCCGCGAGCTGCGCTGTCGTGCTGCCTAAGTTTGCATTTTTTGAAGCGGAGACAAAATTCATCTGCTTTCCCTAGGGCAGTTAGGCAAAGAGCTAGCTGTTCAGAGGGTTGGTTCTGATTGACCCTGACATCCAGCGGTGCCTGGAGCTCATATAGGCTGGCAAGGCTGTTCAGACTCCTTTATGTGCCCCTCAGCGTCTCCTGGTTTCCAAACCCATGTTCATCTTGCCCTGTTTGTGTCCCAGTTTCCAGAGCGAGTTGGTTTCCTTTTGCTCCCCGGGCTTGAAAAGTGCAGTTCTGATCTCTTCTTCTGCCAGGTCTCTTCTGCCTTCACGTCCTCCAGCCTCCTTAATTAGCACCTCCTAAACCTACCGATGTCGTACCCCGTGTTAGACATTTCTAGCAGTGCCAGCCCCGTTGAACTGCAGGGTTAGGAGCTTCTCCCAGCTGAGATTCGCTTCAGGACACTGGCAAAGTCTGGATGTGAGTCGTTACTCAGCCTCGTGCAGAACAGTTCTGCAGTGCACCATCTGCCCGGTTGAGTTAGAGGTCTGATGGAGCTGCTGTGGGCCAGGTGATGTCAAAGAAATATTTATTTATGTGGATACAAACCTTAAAAGGAGCTGGATATGTCTTTTTTTTTTTTTTTTTCTTTTTGAGATTAACTGGCTCATCCCTAGTTCTGATTCATAAACTGTTTCAAGGTCAGATTTTGTTCTGACCTGCGTAGCACAGGCCATAAAATTTCACCCGGTTGGTCCGTAATGAGGCCAGTAATTTATGTTTGCCTAAACATATTCCAATCTTTATATAATGATGTCTTGGTTGTTGTTTTTAAATGACTTGAGCAAGTCATCATTGAGGTTTTTCAGCTTGAATAAGTAACAAAATTGATGATAATTATTTCCAAATGTCCTCTTGGGCTAAGCCAAGTGGTTTCAAAATTATTCACTCAACCGCATGGTGATTTTGTTGGAAAAATCTGTCTTATTTGTTAACCTAACAAGAAATGAATCCTTCGGCCAGGCTTGGCCAGAAAATGCCCATGTGCTCCGCATGTGAGCTCCAACTTATTTCTTGTTTCCCATACGCACTTCACAGAGGTTTCAAAATGGCATTTTTGCTGTGCAAAAAGAAGAGGAATTGCACAAAATGGCCACTGTTGAAATCCCAGCTAGTGGCAAAGGAGAAGGGGAGGTGGCATGTCCGTTCTGGAGTGGAACAAGGGATTGATTGGAAAATAGTGTGCGAGTATTTCAAAGCTCTAGATGTTACCTCTTTACATCAAAGTATTTTAAGATCAGTCCTCAGCCATCTGGGCAGCTATTCCATGATTTGGGATGGTTGTTTAGAGAAAAGAAACAATGACCTGGGTAGGAAGTGACCCATCTCTGGCCGTTGGTGCCGTAGAGCCCTGGAGCGTTTTGGGTGGCGGCGAAGCCATCGGCTAACCAGAGGGGCTTTTTTTTTTTTTTCTTTTCACTTTAAAAGTGCTCTGGAACATGTGCTGCAGGAAATTTTCATCACCTTTTTGTTTAAGCTGCCCGCAACAGTATGTTACAATTGAATGTTAATGGTTCTATTGACATCCTGTTGTGTCTGAAGGAGGCATGTGTGATTTCCAAAGCAAACATCTGCACGTTGAGCCTGGCCCCTCTGAGAGCCATTTTCCTGCTGCACAGAAACGTTGTCCAGCGGAGCGAGGAGAGGAGTGACACATTCTGCCAAGACGGAAGAATTTCAATCCTCTTTATGGCCATTCAGTTTTCTCCATCCTGGACGTACGTCCTCTTAGTCAGACAATTGAAAATGATTTAGCTCAGAGCTTACGCGCCAGCCGGCGGAAGGACTGACGGACTCGGCCGCAGCCCTCACTGTTTCCACCGCTGGCACGTCACTCCATGGGAGTCTGTCCGCCTTCGCGCGGGAGGGGTACTTCTTGGGATGAGCTGACCTGCTTTCTGCACTCTTT